GGTAGGATAGTAGGAATAGGGGGTGCGCTTGGAGTATTGACGCGAGGATGGGATAGGGAGGTAGCCTTGTCTCTTCAGGGCAACCATGGCTGACAGCTTCCGGCAATCAATGTGAGCCTAGTAACTGGCCTCTACAACACCCTAAACTTAAAAAAAAAAAAAAAAAAAAAAAAAAAAAAAAAAAAAAAAAAAAAAAAAAAAAAAAAAAAAAAAAAAAAAAACAGCTGTGACGTTTCCACGTCAATGAATTTGGATCAGAGCCAGCAGGCCTGCTCAGCCCAGGGCTTCGCGATTCGTATACGACTAGACTTTGGAAGTACTGGGGGGTTAATCCTTTCCTTCTACATGGAAGCAATCACTGCTTGTCTGTTGGGGGCTCCCGGCCATAATAAGAGACGACAGGTTATCTAATTGTTGCATCTTTGTCTTTTTTTCTTTTTTTTCCAAGTCCAGGGTGTTGTAGAGGCCAGTTACTGGGCACACGGTGATTACTGGGAGCGGTCAGCCATGGTTGCCCTGAGAAGATGAGGCTACCTCCCATCCCATTGCGTCAATACTCCTAGCGCACCCCCTGTCCCTACCATCCTACCTCAGTGTGACCAGCGCTCAGGACCATTACCCTACCAGTATCGAGGGGAACTTGGACCCGACAGCAGTGACAGACACCAGGGCTAGCCATGAGCCAACCCTGGTGGAAGTGGAGTCGAACGAGCCTTGTCGTACGGGAATTGTTGTACCATCCTACCTCAGTGTGACCAGCGCTCAGGACCATTACCCTACCAGTATCGAGGGGGACTTGGACCCGACAGCAGTGACAGACACCAGGGCTAGCCATGAGCCAACCCTGGTGGAAGTGGAGTCGAACGAGCCTTGTCATACAGGAACTGTTGTATCTCTGTCTTGACTTGCTGGTGAAATAGGAACTGGGCAGCTCCTCCCCTCTTTCATTTTTCTAGATTGCAGGATCATCATGCTTGGGTTGATTCCAAAGGCCGGAATGACTGCATTCTGGGTGATTTTGCAGCCTGTGAGCGGAGTAGTTTGCAAGCGTGTGAGGGGCCTCATTTGCAAGCATGTGAGGGGGATGATTTGCAAGCGTCTGAGGGGGTTGACTTGCAAGTGTGTGAGAGGGTTGATTTGCAAGCATATGAGGAGGTGATTTGGAAGTCTCCGAGGTGTTTGATTTGGGGGCCAGTAAGGGGGGTGATTTGCAAGAGTACGAGGGGGTGATTTGGAAGCCTGTAAAGGGGGTGATTTGAAATCGTCAGGGAGGGCGGGGATCTGGAAGCCTGCGAAGGGGGGGGGTGATTTGGAATCGTGTGAGGGGGGTGATTTGGAAGCCTGTGAGGGGTATTGATACTCCACTCTGGCGTGAATCAATACCCCTCTCACTGTGGGACACCTGCACAATCAATACCCCTCCCACTCCTGCAAATCACCCAGAATGGGTGAATGCAGTGAGCGATTCTGGGAGACAAAAAAAGAAAAAAGTGAGCGATTCTGGGCTCGGGAATCGACCAGACCAGGACGATGCTACCATGGTAGACCCTGGTTTCTGGAAATTGGCATTGGGGTGGTGCGATAGTTGAGTGATAACACACTGAGGTAGTGTGGAGGGAGTGGAAACGGGTATGATAAGGCTGATACACTGGGGAACCCGGGTAAGTGTGGGGGACAATTATGGGTCTACGCATGGAACCTGTAGAAAGAACACTTCCACCTTGCGCCCCAAGTACCCGTACAACAGGGCTCATTCAGCCGTGCTTCAATCAGGGCCGAGTAGGGTTCCTGCTCAGCTCTGGTGCCGGCAGCCACTGTCCGGTCAGGTCACCCCACCCAGATGGTAGAAAGGGTGATGGTCCTGAGTGATAGACACTGAGGTGGGATGAGGGAGGTAGGCCACTTGGAAGGCTATAGGAAAAGCCCAGTTGAAACTGCGCTAGCGCTAGCGCCCTGACGTCGGCGGACCGGTAGGGCCCGGTCGCCCCGACTCGACTAGCGCCTGGGGAGAACAGCTCCCCGGCAGCTGGGCCTGCGCACGTGCCCTATAGGTGTGAGTGGTATGTTGCCATGTGGCGCCTGTTGTTTGGAGACGTGGACGTCCCGTGACACGTGAGCAGGGGTAGTGCCAGCCGTGGGATTACAAGTGGTTCAGAAGAACCGTGTGAGTGGCGCAGTTACTTGGGCGAGAGATGGATTCGGGGGGGTAGCTACAACATCGAGCGGAGGAATGGCTTATCACACTCGAGGAGGGATGCAAGCAGCTGCAGACGATAGTGGGGGTGCTTATGCTGCGGCGGCAGGAGGGGGTGGAGATCGATGGGGGGCCGATCTCTATGGATCAGTGGTTGGAAGACAGGACCCAGGAGATGCTAGACATCATGTGGGAACTGGAGGAGGGGCCGGATCCCCGGCTCGAGGCCTACATCAACTGGAGGCGGGCGGATGATAGGATGGGTGCTTGCATAACCCTCTTTACATTCGGCCGTGATCTACGCAATCAGCTGGAGAATCAGCAGAGAATGGGTGAGATGGGGGGCAAGGGCGACAAGGACGACTGGTTGGAGGGAGGTTTGGAGGCTGACGAAGAGAATTGCGGCAACAACACCAACAATAGCAAGAACAACAACAGCGACAACAACATCAATAACATTGGCATCAAGGATATGGACAAAAATGAGTGCGACAACAACAACAACATCAACAACAACATCAACAACAACATCAACAACAACAACAACAACGGCGGCGGCAGCAACGACTACGGATGCAGCAGGGCAGACAGCGGTGTCCGTTCATCTGTGATCATCATCGGCATGATGGGGGAGATACCGCAAAGCGGACGTGGTGGGGATTGACAACAACAACAACAATAATGATAACGACAGCGACAACAACAACAACAACATCGATGACGAAGACGACGGCGGCAACGATGACTACGGCATGATGGGGGAGATGCCGCAAGCGGATGGGGTGGGGATTGGGGTTGGCACGGAAAATTGGTTTGCTATCTCCCCCCCCCCTCAATGATAGTGGCGGCGACAACAACAACAACAACAACAACAACAACAACAACGACAATGACGAAGGCGGCGGCGACGACCACGGAAGCAGCGGCGTAGAAAGCGGTATTTGTGCACCTGAGATCATTACCAGCGTGATGGGAGTGATGTCGCAAGCGGACGTAGTGGGGATTGGGGTTGACACAGAGAAGTAGTTCACTGTCTTCCCCTTCTCCAACCTTGATATGGAAATGCTCATCATTCATTGGCAGAGGATAGGAGTAGGATAGTCGGTGGTGATTGATGTTGCCCGGCCCGCAATATCAATCAACAATGGGGTGCTGATTGGCCCATGGGTTGGAGGTGGGTGGGCTGTTTAGGGATTAGTTTGCAGGAGGTCAATCCTTCCCTTGCGCAGGGAAGTAATCAATGCCCCTGACAGATTCACACGATAATGCATAATGGATGTTGGACTTCATGTCCACATCATACATATCACATCATTGATAGAGCTTCATGTTTAGGCTTGATTGATAAAGATCACACACATCATATTGTGGTTAGGGTTTCGTGATTAGATTCTGATTGATACAGATGAAGACAGACTGATTGGATGTTGTCTTATGTGGATTGCTGTACATATTCAGACAGTTAATGTCTGTATGACATAGTTACCCACTACTGTATAGGGATGCTGGACCCAATTTCCAGCTGACACACATCACATCAAGGTTGGGGTTCCGTTTGATAGATAAGATTGGGCTCGATGCTTGTTTTGGAGATACTGTAGATCAGACGGATAGGGTCTCCCATCAGCTGACATATATCGCTTGACATGCATACATAGGTAGTTGGAGATATCAACACATTTCTGCATAGGGATGCTGGACCTGCTTTCCAGCAGATACATCATACCATTGTACAGGAATGCTGGACCCAATTTCCAGCAGGTGTAGTTCCCCACCAATAGATGGAGCCTTCGACGCCGGGACCTACTTCCCGGGGATGCTCTTATCACCTCGTTAAGTAGGTGTCCCGTTTACGAAGTTTCATTAAAAAAAAAAAGAAAAAAAAGAGGTGGGATGAGAGAAGTTGGGGTGCGCCGGGGAGAATTGACAAGAGGAAGGCTGGGAGGGGGTGTCATGAGGTGAAGGACCCCGCGGGTGGCCAGGGAGAATTAACAGATGGGTGGGGGCAGGGTTGTCGAGCCCCGGCCCTGGGGCCCAGACAGGGGTCTGAGGGTCCAGGGGTGGGGACCCCCGACCCCAGC